ATATTCAATTAACGAACGAAAGTTTATTCAGAAGGTATATTTTTGAAAGCTTTTGCTAATTAAATCCACCTTTTAAAGTCTTTAGAAACTGAAGATAAAGATCGAATGAGTTAGTCTTTAAAAGGTCAGGGTTAAAATCAAGTTCGTAGTTTCAAAATGATGTTATGAAGAGATTAGAAAACAATTACTCTTAAATGATAACGGCTTGGAATGTAATGAAATTAACTTTTTACAAATTTTTAGTGAAAATGTAATTCTTTACCTAACATTTACGTAATTGTTCACGTTCTGAGGCGATGCTAGATAAAAAATGTCATTTAAATGGCAAATCTCCTATTATTGTTCACGGTTACACTTCGTAAAGTTCTGCTTTTTAAGAGAATTTATAAAAATAAATAAACCGACAGGGTTAATGAGCAACTGGTTTGTGACTAATACTTCTTTGTAGGATGATTCATTGTACCAATGGGACTTCATCAGCTCCTAGCCCAACAACTTGAGAGCTCGCGAACAGTTTCAACTCTCATGTTGTGTATCCACGCCCTTTTAATCTATAGAAGCCTTTCCAAATATAACATAGCACCTGTTTGCCATAATCCAGAGAAACTTTCATAAATCCATAGATTTGGAATGAAGGCTTTAGAAGAGATACAACGCCTGCTACTAGATCGATAAGATCCGAGGGCGTGGAAAGAGTTGTGGTCAGCTCTATGTAGGTGATAACCGCATAACGGCCATTAAATCGTTATAATGAAATGTAAAAAAATAACATGATTCATCATTGATTTGGATGAATAACGCTTGAATCTCATTGACATCGTATAGTTTTCTCTATAGCATCTTAATATAGTTTGGTTTACGAAAACACTGTTTTATTCAGTAATTTATATTCCAAAATTGACAAAAATTGAACAAAGTTATTACTTTCGAAGGTATAACTTTAAAATCCACATTGTAATGGATTCGATCAATACTGAGATCCTTCTTAATAACAAGTTTACTTAAGCACACCGTTTAAGGGTTGCGTATTCGTTTATGATCTAGCGACATAACTATTTGATTCCTAGCATTTTCTAAAAGGGATTTTCTAATCTACATAGGGTTCGCGCCGAATTGTCCACTCAACTTAGAAAACAAAGTAGTCAACTTGAATAAAGAAGTAGCAACCTGTCTCTAAAAGTAAAATTCAGGTTGTGAAAAGTTGGGACTACTATAGATCCCATTATACGAACACGACGCTACTCAAACTTTGTCTTCCTGAGAGATGTTAGCCCAGGGATCCCACCGTATACTCTCGTCGATAGAGTTACCTGAAAGTTAGCGGTTGTGTCCTGTAGTCACAGGGAATAAGTTTGTATGTCTACAGCAGCAACTTCCTATGTATTACTTTTGTTTACTTAAGATGTGTAATCCTCTTTTCAAACAAAATAAATCATATCGTTTCAAATATCTTCGACTGTAAATTATTTCAACAGTGTAAAGTTTATTGATTGATCCAGAACTCTTTTGACTACAGAGCACTAGCGGGTCCAGGATTTAGTTTGATAGGCGGCTTCAGCTCTAATGATTTAAAAAAAATATATAACGAAGAGAAGAATAGTTGGGGTGCTCAGTCAAAAAGGAAGGCAAAAAATAAATTATAATATTTATTTTTTACATATACCGACGTTTCGACCTGAAGTTCAGGCCTTTATCAGGGCTAAGAAAATAACCAGATAACAAGGTATGAGAAACATAAGTAATGATGGTAAAAAAGATAATAAAAAATGAAAAAATAAAATAATTATAATTTTAAAAATAATTTATATATTTTAAAAATTTAAAATTTATAAAAAAAATAAATTTTAAAAAATTTATTAAAAATAAAATTTAAAAAGAAATAATTTATATATTTTAAAAATATATAACGATGATTACTGAGGAAGAAAAGAAATAAACTAACTACCTGTATGAAATAGAGTTAAAGTGATTCCTTAAGCACTATTAAATATAATTACACAAACAATAATACTTTTAGAGGTAATTTTTAAATATTTTTTTTCATAAGGAAGGTTATATTATACCATTTTGCTTCACCCTGAAAGTACTCTTCTCCTGTAGGTCCACCTATGCTACAGAGCACTTTCAGATTGGTCTTTTGGGCTGCTGAAACTTTCCAAAATAGAAAAATATATTTTTTTCATTGGTCCATATTTGTTTCTGTGAGTGATTGGAACTAAGTACTTAAACAATCAAAATAAGATCTCTTTTTTAATTTTAGCGCATGTATTTCGTCCACTAAATGTAAGCACAGAAAAAAGTATCTCTAAAAGTATTATTGTTTTTGTAAACACAGTTATAATTGATTCATTATTTCTTTGACAGTCGATCATGACCATTTAAACATTATTTTACATAGTTTCTTTCTTTTTCTTTCAGAGTGATTACTATTATCAAAAATTAAAAATAATATCCAAGTCCTTTCCAAAATTAAACCCCGCGCCTGTCTACTACTTCTTCAGAATATTCATTTAACTCAGATTTGGATGACAACTTATTTTCTGTGATTAATGTACACCCCCGTCAAAAGTATCGCAACACCCATAATTCTCGAGATTTTCTTGGTTTTGACCAATACATACTTTCGTTATATTTGTAGTAATATTATTCATTAAATGAGAGACATTATGGATTTAAGACATAATTTTTATTCACTGTTTACAAAAAAAAACAAAAAAAAAAGATTGAATTTTGGAGGATAAATATTCAGGACGCAGTCATTTTAAAATTTTTATTGGTGTTGATTTTTCAATTCAAACATGTGGGTCATCATCAGGCTGTGTCTGTGTTTCAAGCACTGAAGTTATTCAAATACTGACTACAGTACTTAAATACCTTCAGTATCTATAATGACTGCATTCTGGATATTTATCATCCATGACATGTAGAACAGCCGACAAACTTCCTTCAATAATTCGATGGAATATTGGTTTATTCATTTCAAATTTCCTTTCAGTCCATCTTTATCTTTTGTTTATCTTGAGTCTGTTCTCTCTTTTCTCTTTAGTCTAGTTATACCAATTAATTTTATACACAATGAATCCTTTAAGCCACGATGTTGTCAGAATCATCACTCTCTCTGAAGAAGGCAAATCATTGCCTTACATTGCTATAATCGTCTTAGGATTCACTATTCTTCCATTTTAAGGACCATAAAAAGGTACAGGGAAACTGGCAGTCATTCGAGACAACCAACGTCAGGGCGTCCCAGGATTACTAATCCCATAGATGACCACTTCATTAAAATGCACGCACCTCGGTAGTGCATTTCCACAGATTTTTCCGTTAAAAACTTGATCGCTGATGTTCGAGGAATATTAATCTTAAAGTCATTAGAAGACTGATAAGAGTCAAACCGCAGCTCAAGAAGGCCAGTGAAAGGTCTTCTTCTCACAGCATAAAGAGATTGAGATTTGCAAGCGAACACCAATCTTGGACTTTGGAGGAATGGAAAAAAGTTTTATTCACTGATGAGACGGGAATGACCCTTAACAGGTCAAAAGACCGTGAAAAAGTTTGGAGAAGGCCTGGAGAATGGTATAGTCAATAGCACGTTAAAAACTGAGCCATTTGTGGAGGGTTCTGTCATGTTCTGGGGTGGCATATCTTGGGAGGCACGTACCGAGTTAGTGCCAATCCTAGGAGGGGTCTTGAATGCTTTGGGTGCCAATCCTAGGAGGGGCCATGATTGCTTTGAGATATTTAGAAATGATTCTTCAAGATCGTGTAGTGCCTTTTATGCTGTTTATAGGCTCTGAATTGTTGCTCATGCATGATATAGCCCATCCTCACAAGGCAAGGTGTATTTCTTAGTGCCTGAACACAACAAATATCCACATCATTGATTGGCCAGCAAGAAGTCCTGACCTTAACCCAATTGAGCACGTTTGGGATTATATCATAAGAAAGGTTTGGTCACCAGATTCACCTCCTACTACCCTTGAAATACTAAAGGCAGCTGTGTTGGAGGAGTGGGACAATATGCCCCAAAGTTTTCTTGAAAATCTTTTAACAAGTATGCCAAGACGAGTGAAAGCAGTCATTCAAGCCAGAGAGGGCAATTCGTCTTATTAAATGCAAATTAAAAGTTAAAATTGTAAATAAGGAAAATTTTAAAAAGTTTTCTAACTTTTTTGTTTATTGGAAGAAATATTGTCATTTATTTTAATAATACTTGTTTATGTTCAGTTTAAAAATGTTTATTATAGACTTCAGAACCTTTCTTCGTTATAAAAAAACAACAACAGACTTTTGGTAAAATTCAAATATTTCAAAGTGTTGCGATACTTTTGACAGAGAGTTTATATTTTTGCCCATTTGGAGCGATTTAGTGAGGCACAGTTGTGTTTAACTTGTATACAGAGTTATTCTGTCAGTTCTCAAAACAAAACGTTGCATTTAAAATCTTATAATTTTCGCAAACACAAATCAACTTCTGTAATTTTGTCTAAACTTGTTATAAACAAAGCTGAAGGGGACTTAATTTTGCTGTTTGTTATACTTATATTAAAAATATATGCTTCTTAAATGCAATCAGCAGTATTCTTAATTTCAGTCAAAATGTGCTCTCATTTAAGACAGCCATCATTGGCAGTTTCAACTATGTCACATGTTAAAGAGATAACTGTTTCACTATTACGCCGTGATTCATTCTTGCCATAATTATGAATGAAAACTTATAGTTTAATTTATTTTTGTGGATAATTATGCAATGAAACAGAAATTTAACTAGAAATATTTTCAGTGTACTTTGTAATAATGAGTGTTTTATATTTCATTTTATTGATCCATTTTGAATTATTTGATTGTGATGTTATTGATTGTCTAGTTTCTAGACAGAGTTTTCTGTTTTTTCTTAATTGTGAACCTTTTGACTAATAATGGATTTGTTTTTTCTCTCCCCTCCTCTCACTTGCCTGCTCCCAATTTCCTATGGTTTCTCCTGGTTCCTAAATTTCCAGAAGGAATCCCGGAGGTCTACTATTTTGGACCATGCGGGAAGTACAACGCCCTGGTCATGGAGCTCCTCGGCCCTTCCCTGGAGGATCTGTTCGATGTCTGCGGCAGGAGGTTCACTCTCAAGACTGTTTTAATGATCGCAACTCAACTTGTAAGTCTATATATTGAATAAAGCCTTCTTTTTTTCTTTCTTTTTTTTAATACCCAGCTTTGTCTGGATTTGTTATAATTCTGTTTGTTTTCACTAAATTTTTTAGGTACATTTTGTTCTTATTGATGATTCACAATTTTCATATGGTGTTAGCCGTTTGTTGTTTATCTGCTGCTTTAATGTATTTATTTGATCCGTTAAACTGTTTTCTTTTAATTCACAAATTTGCCACTGATACATTTTTTTTTGTATACAAGCTTTTATTTTTGTAATACTATCATAAATATAATGTGTAAAAAAAAAAAAGTAATAACTAAAACAGTATGCATACTAAATATTTTTAAATTTGTCTTCAATCTTCGTAGTTTTGATCAGTTACCAAACATTTCCAAAGTGGATTTCAATGAAAATCTTTCTGTACCAATTGAACAATGCTTTAAATAATTTACAATTACATTATATATTATTAATGGATTACATATTTAACAAACAATTGAACCTTGACGAAACTTTAAAAAAAAAAAGTCTTGAATACAAGAGTGCTAAGAAATTTTTTTATAATTAAGTTATGGGCTTACTATAGTTTTTACAGTTTATGTTATTAAAAAAATATAATTATAAATATGTGGGGTTAGATTACAATTACGATTTTTCATATTAACAAAATAAATTGGTGTATCAGAAGTTTTGAATAAAAGTTCTATTGAATCTTTATCTTATAGAACAACTCCATAGGAATGAAGTTCTTGTTCCAAAAGTACAGAATAAGAGATGAAAATAAAAATTCAACTCATATCACAACTGATTAAAAAAAAAAAAATCTTCCTCTTATTTCAAGCTCTGTGTCAAACACAATATACCCTTTTTTAGTAATATTTAATGATTTTCTGGATTGAACGGATATATATATATATAAATAAATTTAACTGCAAAAGAATTAAATAAATGACTACAGAACAATTTTTCATTATTTAATTGGAGGGTGGGTTGAATCATAAGTTGAAAAATGCAAGTTAATTTTTTGCCAAATCTGACATTTGTTGTGCTACGGCTTATCTCTTCTGTTGAATTTTACAAGCTGTTTTGGAATTTGGAAATATATTATGGAGAAAAACATTCTATTCTGTTTGTGAATAATGTTTCAAATGTTGTTATAAAAGTGGTCAATGCATATTTGATGATATAATGGTAATATTTCAAATTGATTTATTAAAGCAGTTACATTCCAAACAATTATTTCTACGTCTTTATAGTTTTGATTTTTACCTATTTTATGAACTACAGTTAAACGTTTGTATCTAAGCTCCTAGCTTTTATTCTAGATTAGACTTTGATTTAGAAACTACTGATTTTTTTTTTCACTTATTGTTATTGGTTTTTTTATTGTTTTAGTTGAAAATTTCTGTCGAAATAGTTTGTTTATAAAAAACTATTTTCTTAATCTTTATTAAACTATTTTCTTGGTTGTAGTTTCTAAACACAAAACTCTTCATGCGTTGTAGTGGTGTAGTTTTTTTTCTAATTTTATTTCACCGAAATTTTGGTTTCTGTTTTTTAAGGGAGTTTATCTTCTGTTCATGAAACATTTAAGTGTTGCCTTTAATTAATTTCTGAACAATTTAAGATAGTTTAAATAAACTTTTATTATATATTAGAATTATTTTTTATGAATTATATCATAAATTAATTATTAAAATTATTTATAATTAAATAGTTTATTAATAATAATAATACTATATTTTATTTATTCTGGGACAAGTTCCCTTAAAATAAAATGCAACAGAATTGTGAGCTTAAGAACCTCAGAGCTATATCATTTTTAATTGTAATCATAAAATTATTATAAGCTTTTATCAATTTTTTATTTGGAAAACGTAATCATAAATTGAGTATGTGTGTGTTTTTAAGCTTAGTTGATTTTTTCTTTTGTTAAGAAACGAATATGTAATTATATCAATCAATTATTCTTTCAGTAAGTCATAGAATTATATTTATATACAGATTTCAAATAGTTGGGCTAGCAGTTGAAAAGAAGAGATTTTTTTATTTTAAATTTAGATTTTAATGACAGATTTGTGTTGTAGTTAAACCATACAAAATTTATAGTTGCGTTATAAATTGAATTTTGTTTTGTAGATGTATTGTAAATATTTTGTTATATATACATTTTTTTTTTTCCAGTTACATAGGATAGAATATGTTCATGGTCGTCATCTCATTTATCGAGATGTGAAGCCAGAAAATTTCCTTATTGGTAGGGCTAGTACTAAAAAAGATAAAATTATACATATTATAGGTATGTTATTTATATATGATATGATTAATTATAGTTTATTAAAAACTTTATTTAATTTAAAATCATATTTCAGATTTCGGTTTAGCAAAAGAATATATAGATTTAGATACGAACAAGCATATACCTTACCGGGAACATAAAAGTTTAACGGGGACGGCTAGGTATATGAGTATTAACACGCATTTAGGTAAAGGTATGTATCATTAACAACCATTATTATTGATTTAATCAAATTGTATTTTTTTTACTATTTAAAACAGTTATAGTTTAAACAATAATTTAATTTTTCTTTTTTAGAGCAGAGTCGGCGAGATGACTTGGAAGCCTTGGGACATATGTTTATGTATTTCTTACGCGGTTCCTTGCCTTGGCAAGGGCTTAAAGCTGATACCCTTAAAGAACGCTACCAGAAAATAGGTGATACGAAAAGAGCTACTCCTATAGAAGTTCTGTGTGAAGGACATCCTGGTCAGTTCATATAACCTTATTATTTTATAATATAAGAATATTATCATCGATATCTCTTTTTTAATAGCTTATTATATTTCAGTGCTAAATCTTAAAGATATTCAAAATATGGTTTAAAATTTATTCAGCTCCGACTTATAGTTTTGATATTTTTAAAATAGATTTTTCCCAGTCCCTGGTGTTCCTCAAGGTATTATCATAGGTCCTATCTTTTACACAGTTCATACAGCTGATATCCCAATACTGTCATTATCTCTTATGTCGATGACACATTCTATCAGTTAATAACAATCCATCAATTGCATCCCAAACTCTTCAATTACACATCACAAACCTTGAAGAATGGTATCAAAACTGGAGAATTAAAATAAATCCCATCAAATTAATATTATCCTTTGTCGTAAACCTATTATTTCCTGCCCTACAGTATCCTTTAACAATAACCCACTTATCCTTATTTAACAAATTTGATATTTAGGACTCCCTCCTTCTCAACCACTGTCTAACTTGGAATCCTCATACCAGACTAAAAATAAAAAAAAACTACTCAACGTTTCCAACTAATTCAGCACTTACTATACAAATGCTTTAAACTTCCAATTAATTAAAAAAGACTCATATTCATGACTATAATAAGGCCTTTTTGGACATCTGAAGTTGAGCTATAGGGCTCCACTAAATCATTGAATTCCTCTCGTATTCAATCCTTGCAATCCAATTTTTTTTTTTTTTTTTTTTTTTTTTTTTTTTTTTTCTATTATATTGAACACCTCTGCCGTTGGCTATTAGGCCATTCGGCTTCTGGCAGCCCAGTACAACTCCGCCATGAATTGTTTGTTTACATTTGTTCCGATCCCATCAGAAGTACTGCGGACATCTGACAGAGCGGGGCAAACTGGGAGGTGCAGGTCGTACATCTCGTCCTGTTGGCAAAGAGGGCACACAGGACTTTCCACCACCCCAATCCTGTGTAAATGCCTTTGCAGGTAATCGTGCCCTGTTGCCATGCGCAAGTTTGCCACCGATTCTTTCCTATTTTTGGTTTGTTTTATCGGCTCCTCTGTTAAACATTCCCATTTTTTCCCCGTTGCCTGTAGCTTTTGCCAACTCTTATTCTCTTCCTTGTAAAATGATTTTAAAATCCTTTTAACAGATTCGTAGGGCAGCGGGGGATTAGTTTGTGGCATTTCCGAGGCGATCCGTGCGAGCTCATCAGCTTTTTCGTTTCCTGGTAGCCCGCAATGGCTTGGAACCCATTGGAAAGCCACTCGGATTCCTTTTTTAATTAAGTCATTAATCCGATTTCTGGCACTAGTGACATCAGGATGGTCCAGGCCATTGCAGATCGACAGTATGGCTGCTTGTGAATCGACAAAGATCACGACTTGGGAATAGGTGAGTTCTTTATCTATTGCAGTCAATGCTGCCGAAATGGCTTTGACTTCTCCATCAAAGTTTGTTCCCCGGCTACCAGCAGGGATGGATAACATGAAATCTTGGCAGTATACTCCTGCTCCCAATTTTGCAATCCAAAATTCTCAATGCTCCTTACTTTGCTACAAATAAAATCACCTATTGCGACCTTAATGTTCCATATGTTTCCAATTTTGGTCCAATCAAAATAAATATCCTTCCATAATAAACTTCAGAACCATCCTAAACCTCTCTTCTCTAACTTTGCTTCCTCAATGATCTCTAATAACCTCCCTAGGGTTCTGAAAAGAAGATAGCCTCATGATCTTCTAACTTTATTAAAGTGCTGCCAATGGGTAGATTCTCTACCCGAAGTTTAGATAAGTCTTTTCATGCCATTGTATTTCTCAGTATCACATTAACTGAATGTATATTATTTTTATATAGTTGTAAATTTCATGAATAAAGCAATGGATTTAGCAGTTTGATTATTATATTTCATTCATCTCATTTTAACATTGACAATAATTACCATTATTAAATTTTTATTATAAATATATTTATAATTGCAGAAGAAATGGCTACATACTTAAGGTATGTCAGGAGGTTGGACTTTTTTGAAACGCCTGATTATGAATATCTACGGAAACTTTTCCAGGATTTGTTTGAAAAGAGAGGTTATATCGATGATGCAGACTTCGACTGGTCAGACAAAACGATGGTAAAATTGTTATCTATTAGCCTAAAATATAATTTATTGATAACTAAATTTTATTTGGATTATATAAAAAATTATAAATTAAAAAAAAAAAAGTGGGAAGCTAACAGAAAAATATATGCTAAGTAGGAGATTTGTTTTTAATAATTATTATTTTATTAGTCATTAAATTTTTAAATTTAAATATCTTGTGAAAATTTTAGAATCACAAAAAGTTTTAATTATTAGTTGAATAAGACGGAAAGTGGAGGATTTCGTCACAGTTCCAATTTAATGAAATATTACCTCAGTGAAAGTATTTTTAAAAAATGTTGATATGTCAAAAATTTCTACCACTAAATTTGATTAAATATAATTAAATCAATGAAATGTGGAAAAAAATAATGTAATTTAAACAGGTTGTCTACTGGACCTGAAAAAGTCGGGTAATCTCACCAGATATTTATGGATTGTTGAAAGGATTTAAAATGTGAATCAGAGACAATTTTTTTGTTGTTTTTAGTGTCACAGAAGTTGTTTACCAAAATTGTATGCTGAAATGGACTATAATTGTTGTATATTCAAAAATTAGATTTCTTACAATCTGTCATAAAAATTCATAATTCTTTTTATAAACCATCCAGTGAATTACAGTTTTTAATATATTAAATATTGTACAAATCATGTAAAGGGATAATTAATAAAATGAGAAGGAGTTGGTCGAGGGTGCGGTCAAATAAATACTGAAAACTAAAATAGTATTTTATTGGTTACACCGACGTTTTGATTGACTTTGAAGGTCTTCATCAGGGCCTAAAAAAATACAAAATATTAGAGACACATAGTGAAAATAAAAAAATCAATTATTAGTAGATATTAAATAAGAAACAGTTGATTAAGAAATAATATGACATGAAAATAATATACGACAGTGATATAGTATCATCAGTGATACACTATCACCCACTGTCATATTATACTATCACTGATGTCATATTATTATTTCTTTATCAGACAACTGTTTCTTATTTAATATCTACTAATAATTCATTTATTTTATTTTCACTATGTGCCTTTTATATATTGTATCTTTTGTTGCTGATGAAGACCTATAAAATGGATCGAAATGTTCTCGTAACCAATAAAGTACTATTTTTCTTTATAGTATTTCTTTGACTGCATCCCCGACCTACTCCTTCTTATATCACGGCCAACCATTTCTACACCGATAATTAATTAAGATCAGTTTATACAAATTTTGTCGAGAGCCAAACATTTTTTTTTTAATCAATTTGATTGAAAGAATAAATTATGTACTTACACAGTAAACTTTTTTAAGCTAGCACTGAAAGTAATTGTCTTTCTTTAAATTGACACATAACATTTTATTAGAAGAAAGAATAATTAAATTTACTAATTTGGCTGTGGACATCATGATTCTCACAGTGTTTTGGTTAGTGAACAAGTGGCAATATAATATGAAAAGAAAAAAATGTAATGTATTATGAAAGGGAGTAATTAATTTTTTTCAATTAAAAAACCAAAACATATGTAAAAAATTACTATTGGGTCTATTTTTTCCTAAAAATACTTTGATTTTAATGATTTTTTTTTGGTGATTGTTTGGAAATTTTTCAAATTATCATGAGTATAATCTACCATAAATTATATCCACTATTATAAATGGTGTACTTTCTGGGTTGTGTGCAAATATAATTTTCTTTTTTGTTGACTTCATAAACAAAGATATAGCTTATTAACACACTCTAAAATTCTTGCAACTGACTGGACTGCACATTTGTCAAGTTACATGCCCTCGATTCTCATTGTTCAAAACCTAGTACCAACTATCTATGAATCTTCTCCCTATTTTTATAACGTGTTTGACGCACATAAAATTATTATAATGCTAAACTCAGTAGTGGTGTTAAAATTATGTGATCTTCATTTGAAAGTAAACGTTAAAAAAAAAATAGTTTATGTCCTATTACAATTATTTGGATGACCTGGTATTTTTTGAAATATGACTAGAAATTCCGGGATGACTCGGGGAATCCCAAAACAAGTTCCAGTAGACACCCTGTTTAATTCTTTACTTAGCTCTAGCCTCTGCACATCCAAAAAAAAAAAGGCCCGCAATTAAAAATTGTCATTGTCAGAATTTTATTTTTGTTGGATCCTTACCTCCCCTTCCCCTCCCCTCAAATTTAAAGTTTTGACAATTGACATAGCGGGAAATTATTGCAATAAATTGTGAAAAAAGAAAACAATTGGTCTTCTGGTTATAATGATCATTTTGAAATTTGGCTTAAATTTTGTGGATTTATGTAATTTATTCAAACAATTCATTTAATATCAACGATATTATTACCTTATTAAATATTAATTTGACTTTTTTTAAAACTATTTTATCTTTCAATCCTTAAAAACTACTTCAGTTGTAAACTTTTCTAGCATATATCATGAAAATCTCCTTTTACACTTGTGGCAATTATATGAATGATTTCAGCTACAATACGGTTTGTATAATTTTTTTTTTTGTTGTCCACTTTGACATTGCTAACACATACACCTGGCTTCTAATAGTTCTGTCTTTGCCATCCTTGCATGTTATCAAACTATTTAAGCTGATAATATTACATACACTCACCTAATATTAATCTGAAGGATTTGACTTTTTTTTGTAAATTTAAAAATTATTATAAGATGTGGTTAGAGCCGGTGGAGTGTTTATTGCACAGTTTGTTAAGTTTAAAAATGCATGTTGGATGTATTAGTGTGAGGTGCACATGATTATTTAATAGATAAAAATAGCTTTTAAAAAAAAGTTACTTTCTTGATAGTAACTTTTTTTTCGGGGATTTAGTTACTCAATCTTCCGAAATACTTATTTATTAGTTCATAATAGGCCTAATATTCTCCATATAAATCTTAAAAAGAAGAAAGAAAAGCTTATTTATTTTTTGATTCCTAATGACAATTATATAAGTTAAGATACTCTCAAAATATCTAAAACTGATGGTTGAGTTTAAAATAAGTAGTTTTGAATACATTGGGAAAGCACAGTGCTTAGTGCCAACACCAATAATATCAATAATGGGTTGTGATTCGAAGTCAATGGTTGTAGGCGTAGATGGTTTGGAATTGCCTCATAGTGTTCTTTGCTTGTGGACACAAGAAGAGTTAAAAAACTTTTATATGTTTCGAAAAATCAAATATCTGGAGACGAATTTGTAATAAATACAAATTTTACTTTTCATTTCAGAATATATGAAAATCATGTAGTGAACAGATATTCGATGTAAATTTTACTGTCTGTCATTATCTTTGAAAATTTGTAATCCAAGACATAAGAACTGATTTTTAATAGTGCTGGCTGTTTCTTTGGTATTTAGAAATTAATTTTTTAATTGGTCTTTTTGAACTTTATTTTCTATAGTTCCTTCTCTACTCATTCAATTAACATTATTTTTTATTATTGGTGTCCTCTTCATATGTTAATCACTCCTAAAGTAATACTAATTATTTGCCACAATTAAAAAAAAAAATTTAAATTGGTGGGTTTATAAATAAATTAAACTTGCATCTTCTTTATGAAGATATGCAAAATATATTTATGCTTGTGTTTCAGCATTAATAATTTCACATTTTTTAAGTAACAAACAGTATGACTAGAATAAGTTAACTTTATTTAGCATTGAATAATATATTTTCCTGTGTTTGCTAAAAAATGTGTACCATTTTGTAATGTTTTGTTCAAGATTCGGAACTAAAATAATGGGAAAAATAGTTTAAAAATGCCGTTTTATCAAGCTTTGGTGTGTTGCCGAGTTGAACTGTATTAATATACTGATCACTAAAGAAATTCTGCTGGTCAACTGCTATTTGTTCGGAATGTGATTCTTCTATAAGCATTCTAAATTTTTTTACATTTTAATAAATAATGCTTATGTTCTTTGTAGTTTTATTTTAGGTTACTTTGATATTAGTTTTGATTACAAGTTCATAAACTTTTTCAACTTAACAACTAATAAAATATATTTTTGAAATGATTTGTTGTCTTATTTTGTTTATTTAATAAGATTATTAGGAAATGTTTACATTATCTTAATTTTTTTCTGATTTAACTTATGAAAGATTAATAAATTGTTAAAATAATTTTTTTAATAAATTTTTAACTTTTAATATTCATGCTCTGGCTTCTGTCTCATAAATTCTAATGTAAATATTCATAAATTTTAGTCCAGATAATTTATTGTATTTGTTGTAAAGTTATTAATGACTCGTTTTACTGAAGGACAACAAGAAACCAATTATAGAAAAACAATTTTCTTACTAAAGTAGTATATTTTATGGCATGTTCACAATAGACTAACCAAATTTAATCTTATTATTAAACAGTTATCTTATTGCTGAGCAGTAATGTTTGTTCTTACTGAGAATGGGACGCAACTCAAATTGGACTGAAACAAAATGGTTTATTGATTAACACGTGTGGGTTTAATTCATTATTGTCTGTCAGTATCATTACTATTTATTGAATGAACTATTAATGAGAAATATTTCCCCATTCTTAATTTTAAATATCTTCCAGTAATTTTTTTGGAAATTTTTAACATTTGCTCTGCATCGTGTAGTTTGATAGGTTTAAATCTTATCAAAACTATTTATAGCATGGTATAATAATCACCAGTTGTGTTTTAAATAGTTGGATCGTTATCCTATTGTATGCATGAAGCCTTTTCTTTTGTTGCCTTTGCAGAACGATTCTGTAATAGTTTATATCTCTTTCGATGTTGAATAATATTTCTCCCTTTTAACTTATAGAAATTTCCTAATTTTTTAACGTGTTCACTGTTACCTATGAACAATCCAAATCATACTTCCAGTATGTGTATATCTTTACTTATTATCAATCTGAATCACATGTTCTTACTACTAATAATTCTTCTGATTCCAACTTTTCCTATTTCTTTCTCTGTGCTGCTCTGAATATAAAATGATAACTTTTTTCACACTGAACAATACAAGGAATTATTGAAGGAAGTTTATCGACTGTTCTACATATCATGGGTGATAGATATTCAGGACGCTGTCATTATAAATTTTTTATTAGTGCCGACGTTTCAACCCAAATACGTGGGTCATCATCAGGGCTGAAAAATTGTTTAATACATTCAGAGATATGATATTATACGACAGATAATGGTTAATAATAACAAAAAAGTGATTGATGATACATAAATGATTTGGCTAACTATTGTATACCTGCATTCAAACTATTTTATGTTTATATTGAAAGTCACCTCTTATTCATTGTTATTTCATTACAAGCCAGTAGTCACAATTTTGTAACTATAAAAAACAACGCAAATCTTGTACACACCTTGAATATTATATGTAACAAATTATTTACATTCTACAAACAGAAATGTAACTCCTTTCCCCGCTCCCACTCTGACTGTTTAGTTACCTACCAATGTGTCAGTACTAGAATACCTTCAGTGCTCGAAACACGGTTAGTAAGAGTGAACATTACATTTTTTATAAATTCATTATATACATTATTTTTAGTTTACATAACTTTTTACATATTTGATTTGCCTATTTCATGTATCATAAATCACTTTTTTATTATTTTTAACCATTATCTGTCATATAATATTATATTTATTAATTTATGAATGTATTAAACAACTTTTCAGCCCTGATGATGACCCACATGTTTGAGTTGAAACGTCTGCACCAATAATAACTTTATAATGACTGCATCCTGAATATTTATCATCCATAAACAATATAAGTATATATTGATTAGAAATATACAGCATTATTTGACATAGATCCTTTTTTATTGTCAATTTTTGTTATATTTTTATAGACTATTATATGTATGCTGATAAATTTAATTATCGCTCTGAGATTATTTTTTTCTCTTGTTGTATTAAGCTAATAAATTAGAATAATGTGATATTGAGGTCTTAGCTGGAAAAGGATAATAAAGTAAAAATACATTTTCAGATTAAACCATGTGAAGTTCACATTTCTATGATACATTAATTTTTTAGTTATTTTCTAAACGAAATCAACCATAAGGTATATTTTTTAAGTCATTACAATTTAATAATAAAATAAGTATTAATGATTGTTTTTTTTTTTTTTAAAGATACAAGTGTATGAAAGTTTAATTGAAACCTAATCATGAGGAAAACTTTATTCAAATGTTATAGAAAAAAAAAAACGTAAACAATCTTGAAACATGAATGCCAATAATTTTCCAATCTCTTATGTTGAAGTAGTTTTGGATGTCATTCCCCAAGATGTCTTACCCTTCTTGGCCTTACAGAAATGTTGTTCAAGGGTTTCAGTTAAACATAATTATGGAAGTTGTGTTACAAAAAATATGGTCGAAACTTTAATTTTTTTAATCCATGTAAGTAAAAACAAAATTGCTAAGAATGACGAAGGGACAACTTTCGGAAAAAAAAAAAAAAAAAAAACTGAGATAGTTTAGGACTTTATTTGATTTTCCCTATATTACTCCTGGCCACTTACTTGAGGGATGAGCACCGTCTTAAGGTTTTTAAGATAAAATATTGCATACATTATTCGGACTGAAAAAGGATGAGTCAACCAGAAAAAATTTAGACGGTTATACAGTGCTGAATTGCACAAACTGTCCCTGATTAATATAATTGATGTGATTACTTTGAGGCAAATAAAATTGCTGGGCTTAGTAATGAAAGAATTCCTTAAAGTTAATATGCACTCTGCCAACTGGTAAGCTTCTGAGGGGTAGACCAAAGTGAAGGAGGAAATATTGCATTAAGGCTGATCTGGCGGGTTTGGGTTTAGACAGCGCACAGTGGATGGAAGGATATGTACATCAATGTACATACATTGATGGTATCGGCATCGAACCTTCAGGTTCGACTACTATTTTTTATTTTTTTTATTTCTTGTTTAACATCGTCACACATCTCCTAAGTTAATTGCTATGCCATTTGTGGAAATGACAATTTGTTGATTAAAATGATAAGCTTAACAGATTTGTTGTGTTTTTTGCATGACAAAAGATAGTTTATTAGGTTTCAGTATTTTGCTGTAATGTATATACATTCTTGAATAATTAAATTAAAATTTATAATCATTTGCTTGTTTACTAAATTTGCATGCTGCATGTAAAGCCTCCTAACTTTGAGTTGTTAAGAATCCTGAGAAATGCTCCTCCATCTCATATTGGCAAAACTAAATCTGACCAGGTAAATAATAAATTAAGGTATTACTATTTAAGTAATTATATATTTTATCATTGTAACTTTTAGCTTATTTAATTAATTATGACTAGTAAAACAATTTGTTGATGTTATTAGTAACAATTAGTCACCTACAGTTATATTTTATGATCAAATTAAAAAAAAAAAATTGTTTTTCAAATAATATAACGTTCACTGGACTAGTTCTGCCTGTTTTCCTACCCCTCACTGACAACATCCTGTTTTCCTCATTATTTATTATTCCTTACGTTTATTCCTTACCTAAAAAAGTTTTACTATAGGCAAATAAATTATTCAAAATAGTACATGGAAGGCTTAGAAAGTTTGCATTATTATACTATGCATGTTCTGGCTGATTCCTCCATCTTCGGTTATCAGAAACAGTACGTCGAAGAATACTTGAGCTCCGTCCTTTGACATATTTGAATTATTTTTTAAGGATGAGTGATCATAGTAAGCATATTTTTTACTTAAGACCTTTCCATTATTAATCCCTTGTATTTTCTATCAAAATAAAATTTCAATCTCACTAGTTGGTACCTATAGGTCGATGCAATAAAATAATCACACTTAATTTGTTGATTATTATTTATTAATGTTCGTTTTGGGGCATATCTATTCTCTTCTTCAGCATGTTGTTTAGAAGTTTGGTCAAAGGTTAAGACTCAAGTAAAAAGATTTACTTGAGTTTTTAGATTACGGCTAAAAAGTTTTTAGTTTAGTTTTAACCATTGATCAAACTTATTAACAACTAGGGCTTATCCAAAACTGGGGCATATTATATTCTGAAGAGGAGGAATGAGGTTTTCCAAAATGTTCACTAATAAATAATAATCAACAAACTAAGTGTAATTATTTTATTGAATCTACCTATAAGCACAAAATGGTGAGAAGATAATTTAGGAAAAGGGTCAAATCTGGAAAATTTAGGGAAAATGGTGAAATAAAATGTAGTGTGACCGAGGTCTTATAGTATTAAAACCATGAGACTACTCTCTCCCTTCTGTACCACCTTATTCCTGTAAGCAACATAATGTCAAGGACAGTTTTAATCTCCGGAAAAATATGAAACATTTTTATTCATCTGGCATTAATTAATTATTTATAGTGCTCCCATTTTTCAAAACTGAAAATGTTTTCCAAACTTCTAAAAATTTCTCACAATATTTTACATCATAATAAGTTTGTGTAGTGAACTGAATAACAAATGATTATATGTTATAAATGATAATATAATAAAGATGACAGATCCCTTTGATGCGTAAGGCACAGTTTAATACTCAGCCTTTGTTAAGGTTCAGTGAACCATTCTTTTATAGCTACAGTTATAAAGAATTTATTGATTTAAGAATAATGGTTGATCACTGATGGAGGTATGTTTGAAGTTTTATGCTCACCCAAATTAGGGATATTTTTATTTATTAATATCTATATTTTTATCTTAGATTATAATATATTTTCTATTTTTAATTATATTTCTCTCATTTTAGTCGACTCCAGTGGGTTCATTGCCAACAGGTCATGAAATCGTAACATCGCCTAACCGTCACATTCCTGGAAACAAGGTAATGTATGCGATACCTTATTCTCCCTAGAGTTTGTTAAGTAAAACCAAGTTCCATTGAATTAAAACTACAAAAGAATTGACAAAATAACTTCAATTTCCCTCTCTTCTTGTTTGTTACCTCTTGATCATCTTCCGTATATTTAAAAATACCCGTTGGTTTAAATTGTTTTCTTCTTTTTTTCATGCACCTAGTTTCATGATTTTTTGGATGATGAAGATGACCTATTTTTTATGAACGAGACAATTTTGATGCCTGAGGTCAGGGTAATACTTAAACTCTATGCCTAGACCCTTGCCAGAACATTTGTTTGTATTTTATAGTATACTTGAGTAGAATCGAAATAATTTGTATCGATCCGTAAAATTTTCTGTCCAAGAAGTGTAATTATAATTAATTGAGTAGATTTTGTTGATTATATAGATTTTATTTATTTGATGTAGTATAACATGAAAATTACAGAAATAGTTTCTTGATTGTTTTCGATTCGAGCTTATTTCTGAACATCACCATATGGTTACGTTTTTTTGTTTTGTTTTTCTCTAATATAGTTATCTCTATAAGTTCCTATTTAAACAAATTTCTTCTTATTTTACTTATCTTTATATTAAGTATTTTTAAAATGTAAAATTATATATTATTATATTTATGGAATCTATTGTTAATGGGAGCATCTTCATCAAAGCATTTTATAAATAGGTTTAGTCATAGAACTGGAAACAATACACTACCCTCCCTAATATTAATTGTTTTTTTGCAAGTTTTTATTTTAGTTTGCCCTTAATAGGTACAATTACTATTAGCTACATTTAGAACGATATGTTTTATCGTACCTAATTGCATGAAAAATAAAATGTATATTTTAGTCAGTCAATATCAAAGAAAGTCGCTTAAATCAGTAAAAGATTTTATTTGAAAGCGACTTATCAAAAATGGCTCATCTCACATGGTATGTATTCTGTTATATGTAATACTAAGTTGTTAGCTAAACTAAAGTGTTCTTCTATGGGCCTAATTACAAATATGCAAAATGATTTTCCAACTTGAAATCTATATTTATAAAGATGATTTTATAATGCATGGGTTTTCTTTCTTTAATTCTTGACAAAGTTGATGTTGTAATTTGATATTTATTTGGCTTTCCTCGATATAATCTTGTAAATGTAGTTCTCTGCTTTGTTGTTACACTAATGTTAATTCCTATTATGTAGTGTCTGTCTTAATAGAGCTTCATTATTGATCTGTTTTCATGTTTATAACAGGGATTGAAAATTAAAGTTACTTTTATTATTAAAATTTTAACTTTGTTATGTGTATTTAGAATAATTTTACTCAAATATGGGCTGTTTGAAACAGTTTTCTTCTATTAAAAAAATAAAATAAAATGGAAACTTAACTAATATAATTACACTTAAGTCTTATTTTACCAAATTTATAAAGAGATGACAAACTGGATATTATGAAATTGCTGATGGAATTTATAATTTTTTTTTTAAATATATATTTTTGTACTTCTAATATTTCGATGGACCAGACTTCTATGTAAAATGTACAAATATAAAGAAAGTTTTTCTGGATTAACAAGATAGTCTAGCAGGTATTGGGCTTCCTTTGCAAAATCTGTTACATAATTTAGCTATCGTCATCAAATATTTAATATTAATAGGCTTTCTTGGTTGACCGATGACTTCATGACTTGACCGACTCTGGGTCCATTCAATTCCAAGAAAAAACATTGAGTTCTTGACATTTATCAGGGAATAAATCAGGCAGATAAAGCACAATGCTAATCTCATATTCATCGAATAATATTGCAGAAAATCAGTGCCTGGCCCTTAGGTGTTGTTGTGTCTGATTTGTATATTAATCTTAAATAATTTTTAAAAAAACATTAGTTTATATCATAGGTGGGGAACCTTTTCATCATTAGATGTCGTAGTAAGGGTAGGCAGTGCTAATAGAGGCCGCAACAATTTTTTATATTTTACTGTTGCGATTTTTTTTTTTTTTAATCACTAAATAAACACACCCGTATGCATATACTCAATTTAATTCTATTAACATTCAATTTTTTTCTTTTTCTAACTTAAATAATTAAATATTAATTAATTCTAGCACTGGGTTAATAAATATCGTGCAAAAACGTTAAAGGCCACAGGTTCCCCACCTATGGTTTATAGTCTTCGCCTTTCTTCATTAATCATTTTCTCCTCACTTCTTGCCCATAAGTTTAGTTTACTTACAACCACTCTTAATTTATAATATTATTCTTTGCTATTTTTATTTGTATGTTTCGGGGATACTTTCTTTCCCTGTCCCCTACCTTATCAGCATTATAATTTGCCACAGTATTTTGGTAAGCTTAGTCAATGATCAAAATACTTTTTTAAATAATGAAGAATAACAATATAATTTATGAGTGGTTGTTTATTAAACTAAACTAGACCTATGAGCTAGAAGTGTGGAGAAAATAAAAATTGAAATAATGTTTGAAAGGCTTATAGCAGCAGCATGCATGTATTATAAATTGCAAATTAAGTAATTCTTTTTTATATGTATTAAATGTTTATTGTTTCTTAAGCACTTACCTCAAGTTTCCATTTTACATTAAATTTTGTTTTTAATACTTGAAACTTTTAAATCAACTAGAACATAATAAAAAACAATTTTTTTTAACTTGTATTTGTGCAACTTTTATCAGATTAGAAAAAAAAGTTATTAAGGTAAAATCCTTTTAAACTTTTAATTTTTTCAGAAAAGTAACTTATTTTTCTGATTCCTCATTTATGAAGCTTACTTGTTTTGAATTTGAAACTTTATTTGCCTTATTGCCTTAATTAATTTGTTAACAGTAAAAACTATTTGTGTTTTGAAATTATTTATTTATTTGATTAATAAGTCTAATTAATAAATATCCACTAATATAAAAAAAAAAGATGTATATTAGAGATGGAAGATGGAGGAATATTCAAATAAAGCGGTTTGTATTAGCACCTTAATGCATGTTTTGGCTTGAACAAGCGTATGTTAATAGAGAAGTGTTTTGACGCTCACAGGGTGGTGTCAAAGGAGTCCCAGCTTGGCCAGACGTCTCAAAACAGCCAAGTCACACCCTAGGAAATCTTACACCTGCCGATAGGCACGGCTCTGTTCAGGTATCCTCTTTAAATAATAATTTAACTTAGTTATCTCACTGTTTTTATTTAATTTTGTTCGTTTATCAACTAACATCATTAGCTGCATTGTTTTTCTTTGTTTATAGTACTAAAAAATAGGGCTGGTTGTGTATTGTTCTTATCTGTATTTATATTTTGGTCTTACAACATATGATAAAATCATTCATGATGGTTAAGTTCTGGTTATATTGTTAAATTGAATTATAATTATGTGTTTTCTGACACAACTAGCATTAGGTATAAAGTAGAACCATTAAACTATAAGTACATTTCTAGTTTTATTATAAGTAAATAAGTAATTAATGTAATATAGTAAAAAAATTCACCAAGGAGCAGAAGTTCAATGCTAGGTTATAATTGAAAAAATCCTAACCATATAGCCTTACGTCTCCAAAATGTAAGTAAAGAATAAAAAACACATCGACATTTTGCCAATTCAGACACCATCAGGAAATAAAAGAAATGAGACCGACCAATGGTGCCTGAATTGGCAAAATGTTGATGGTTTTTTTATGCTTTAACTACATTTAAGGAAATTTTGGGGTGCATGGTTAGGAATTTTTCCAGTTACAACCTAAATAAATAATATTAATACAGATGTATCGTGACATCGGTTGCGTGATCCTGGTACAAGAAGTGTGCCAGGAAGCACAAGAAAACAAAACACATTTTAAGGTATGGGAAAAAAAGGTACTCCAAATGATGTATGGACCATATTACCATATATATTAGAGTACGATTCTTCTGCGTTCTTCTTTATATGGCTAGTTCAGGAACTAAAATGAAGAATTCGGTAGTCCTAACAGTACGATTTCGATCAACAATTTCTTGGATCTAAATTCTAACTATTTTAATAGGCCTTTATGCTGTATCTAATACATTCTCACTTTAAAAATAATTGACAAATTTTAATAATTTTATGGAATTATGGAAGTCAATTTTTCAACTTTCAACTCTTCCTTGAATGGCTAACAATTGGGAGTTTATAGTCCTCTTGTCTTCTGACCCATGCCACTGTCAGCGATTTTGAGAATGCTAACAATAAATCCTTTCCAAAAGGAAGTGAATTTATTTAATTTAAAACTTTAGTTAAACGTTTTCCTAGTAGTAAAATAGTTTAGTTTAAAGCTTCATTGAATGGAGATATTACACATGAGGTCTCCTAATCCAGCAATCTGCCATATCTGTAGAAACAGTGACTGATATAGGTTACATCAACACTAGAAATGTTTTTCTCATATTAGGCAGGTAGACCTTTTTCTCCCCAAACACTTCTTTATACTATTAAATTTTAAACTCATTTAATATAATGTTTGATACACAACACTTAATTAACTGAGGATTTAATTTCTTACTTTTTTTTTTCATTTTTCATAATATGATGATAAATTACTGAATTTTTGTCTGTATGTTTAGGTTGTCAGTTCAACTAATGGAGAATTGGCAAACGATGATCCGACTGCTGGCCATTCAAATACGCCTATTACTGCTCAAGCAGAAGTTGAAATTGTGGATGAAACAAAGTATTTTACTTTAGTTAATTTTTGTATGTTTGTGATTCATTAGGGATAAGGAAACAGTTTTATGTTTAGTATTTTTATATAAAATCATTCACAGTAATTATAACCAAATTGTTTCCATATTTCTGTTGAATAGTATTGATACATACTTATATAATGAGATTATTAATTATATTTATATCTTTTTCATTCCAATTAAAAAGGACTCAATTGGGGTTAATTTATTTCACTAGGAAGCCAAAGTTAGCTATGATCTACTTAATTCTATATTAATTTAAGAAATAGTTCACTGATTTATTTTTAATTATTATACGTTCACGTGAACCATTTATATGGATTTCTCATAAAAATGGGAAATGAACTGAGTTCTGTTATAAAGGGAATTTTTACACTTACGTTTCCCAATTTTTATGAAGATGTAAAATGAAGAAAGTGTTGCATTCAACCCTGAAATAATTTTAATAAACGTCAATCAAAATATTAAATTGAAGTGTTTAGGTCCAGCCATAGTTTAAGCTTCAAAATTTGTATAAGAGGTCTATATATATATATAGGTTATCAGCATCCAATATATAATCATGAAACTGACAATTTCAATACCGGAAAGTAATGTCGTTTATGCACATGCCACTATTTGATTGTCACTTGGCAGCTCATTATGTACATCTAAGTCGTGGCAAGACATTCTAAGGTTATAGTGACTTGTTTAGTTGTAAATAATTAAATTAATTTTTTTTTATACAATTTTTGGGTGAAATGGTCAGCTAAATACCAGAAGAAGTACATATCCAACATTGCATGCCTTTTGAGTTTCATAAGGGCAGTAATGCAATAGTTGTTACCAAAAACATTTGCGATGTTTATCCCAACGCATTAGATGTGTGTAAATGCTGAAGGTTATTTTCCTTATTTTCCAACAGAAAACGTGTGGTTCTGTTACACTATAATGCCAGACCGTGCAGCACAAGATGAACCCTGGAAAAAATTAATGAATTGGTATGGGAGGAACTGCTTCACCCATGCTCGCTCGATGTTCCACCATCAGATTTCTATTTCTATTCCAATCGCTTCAACACTTTCTAAGTCGCAAAAGATTTGCAAATTTGGATGATATTCCAAACGTAATCTCTATATATTTTGCTCAAAAACCAATGAATTTTTATTGATTCGGCATTGAAAATTTGCACACTAAATGGCAAAAGCTTATTGATAATGAGGGTGATTACATCATTGTTTAAAAATAATAACTCGTTAAAATTTAGGTTTGAATTTAATGTAAGAAAACGACATTATTTTCTGGCTCTCCCAATACGTATTTATGACTTTTTATATTGAATTTCTTTACCACTCCTACTAAGCATAGTGTTAGTACTCCACAGCAACCATGGATAAGATTGTATAGGACGATAGCTAAGTAGATTTAAAGTGAAGTCTGCTGTGACACTACACTACAACTGAACATTACCCAAATTTCATTTAATGATTTTATAAATATTTTTAATGTTATTTTCTCTGAAGCGGTTTAGCATTCAATACCAAATAAAAGTTAAGAGAGAAAAACTATATGTCAAAAGAACTGTCCTGTTTTATTATTCTTGTCTGTACCAATAAGGTATGGCACCTTTTAATTAAGCAGGAAATTAAAACTAATTACGGATTATTACTTTATAAAATATAAAAATTCACAATTCAATAGTTCATAACGCCTTGTCATTGAAGTGACACCCATCATAAACAAAGCATTGCAAATTTTTGGTTTTGGATTTGATTTTTATATCAACAGCTCAGAAACATCTGATGATAGCTCATCGAAAGATTTTTTTCTCTTTCGGATTGATAGTATATTCGTTTTTATTATGAACTACAGGGAAGCAACTTCTCTTTCTAAATAATTCATTTGTTATAAATTTTTTGTGCAATATAAGAATTTATCTTCTGTATGTAGAAAATAGTTGAAAATTAATAGAAGTTTAAATTAACTAAAGTTGAACAATAAAGAAAAGAGTACTTAAGGGATGGGTATAAAGTTGACTGCTGAAATTATAAGAATGAAAAATGGTCATGATGTGGGTGCAGTCAAGAATTTATTTATTGTGTTTGCAAATAATTCGAGACCCGTATCTAGGTCATCAGAAATAAAAATTAAAAAAATACAAAATAACGTCAGACAAATGATAAATAAATAATAATATAAATAAAAGTATAAGAGAAAAAAAAAGTGAAACATATAAATGAGATAAAAATTATAAACATAATAATAAAAACATTGCAATATGCTAAAAAGATGTTTTTGTATTATAAATAAATGAAAAAGATAAGTATATCGAAAGTAAAAATAAAGTAACTTAATGTTTTAGTTACACTAATAATTTGGTTTGTTTATTATTACTTTTAATGTACTTATCTTTTTCATTTATTTATAATACAAAAATATTTCCTTATCCTATTGCAATGTTCATTTATTTATCATTTTTTCTGATGTTATTTTGTATTTTTTATTTTAATGAGTCACTTTAGAATTGCATATGAATTGTGGTATTCATATCAAAAACTTTAAAGTTATAAATTATATATTATTCAATTTCAAATGTTCAATAAGCATAATAATGTTATCTAAATTATCAGTATGTAGGCTTTGGAAGGTAAACCTTTTTATATACAGCATTTATTTTTTCTAATAGTGATATATTAGTTTTGAAATAAATGACTAATGCTTATCTCAATATATAATATAAAATTTACAGCCAGCTGTTGTTTGGGCATTAAATTGATTTGAAAAAGTAACAGTCTTTGTTATTGACAATAGACCTTCCCTGTCTTTATTCAGGTGCTGCTGCTTTTTCAAGCGGAAGAAGAAGAAAGGTGGGCGCGGGAAGTGACTAGGGGTGGTTGAATGCAGCCCAGAAAGAGAGGCAGTGACTTTGCTCCAGGCGACATCGCAGTCGAATTCACGGGATTCTGTCCTCAACCCTCCACCTCCGCCCATCACCTCAGGCGCCTCATAATCTTCAATCTTGATCAGTTATTGGTTTACTCCTTGTAGGATTTTTTCCCCCATATTACATTTAGAAAAAAAAAAAAACATATTTTTTTGTCACTGTCAGATTTTATATATTTTTTTATTTTAATTTTTGTGGATATTCCATTTTTTTTCTTTTTTAAACACTGTTAGCACTTTCACGATAATCTTAAATATGAAGGAATATTGCATTTTGAGTCATTTTTTTTTCTAGTATTAGTTAATTGTTAAGATGTTAAGATATTTTGTATCAATTAATTTATTTTATATCCATCGTCATAGGATTCAACTGACGTCAGTGATTATTTTAGATGTATATTTCTGTATATTTTAATTCTTATGTGTGTGCGTGTGTGTGTGAAGTTATTTTCAAACATTTTCACTGTATTTATAAACAGGGTTTATATAATTGTTCCCATTTTCTCAAGAATAAAGCAGTTGACTGAGATTAAAATAATGTTAATGGTAACTCTAGATTTAAAATTGAGGAAGGTGTGATTTTAAAAAGCAAAGACCAAATGAAAGAATTGTTATTTATTGATAATAATCTTCGTAATGGAGGTGCCCGATTTCCCAGTTCCTAAGTGAGTCCAAGTGGGAACGGACAAAGGTGAAAATACAATTACTCTGTGTCTAATGTGAATTGTAGATATTATTATGATGAGACAGATTATTGTTTTGTATAAAGTTGTTAAAACGTGTAAAAAAAAGTAAAAATAAAAACAAAAAAAAATGAAATTGTGAGGAATTGTAACTCACATAAAAGCGGTTTGCAAATTTACAATAAAGATAAGTGGCCTAGTTTTAGTATACCAATGTAAAGGCCAATTCTGTTACTTAAAACCTCATGTAATTTAAATAAATTAAGATTCTGAGAAATGTTGCCCTTGATTTGTTATACTTCCAATTATATTTTGATAAATATATATATTCATACTACTTATTTTAACTATATGTCGAAATGAGACTCACAAAAGTACACTTGAGTATGCCTTACATTAGTAGTGTATACACAGTAAACTTTTTTGAACACGAAATTTGTTAACGTGATTATGTTATTTAAAGTGGTGCGCTAATACATACCTGTCTTGTTGGAGAGGCCTAGGTGCGAGTCGAACACTAATGTTGTAAATTAGTCAGTGGGACATATCAGGTCCATTTATTGCTAATATTTCTTATAAGTATCCGCCTTTACTAGCATATGAAGTTAAGAATTCAAATTAACATTTAGGCTCATAAGTGAACACTGGCACGAGTGGGCTAAGTTCAATTTAGTACAACTTTTAAAAATGTTATTCATTGAATATCTTGGGCTAAGACTTTTTTTTTTATATACATTATATTAAGCTTTCAAGCCAATAAAATATAAATTTTGTGATCAAAGTTAAATTAGGATTATTACTTGGATAAGTTAATGTGTATTCATAATACCACAAATTGTTAAAATGTGCTTTATTTTCAACTTAAGAAATAAAGTGATGTATTTATTGCAAATTAAAAGAAATCTTGTTTAAAGTTACATGTTATAAAGTATAATAGCTAATACATCTTGAAAAAGGATGTACGAAATTGTAAATTATTGTACATCTCAGTTAATATTTAATATTTATATACTGATGATTGTAAAGGACAAACCGTTCTTCATTGTTCGTTTTACTTTATTTTAAACTCGGGAGGAAATTCTTCCTCTTTCATAGCTTGAACCGAAATTACTTTAAAATTTTTTGATTACTTGAAATTTGCTTGTTTTGTTACTTAATAAAGGACACACAAGATCAAGAGAAGATATTGTTACTTCTAAAGTGTCTGTATTTTTTCTAAATAAAAATATATACTAATTATATTTTATTGATTGAACTAATTAGATTATTATGATACTTTAATAGTTTTAATTTTTTGTTATGAACTTAGCAAGTGATGTAAATAATCTGTTGTAATGGCTGCCTCTTCATCAATTTCCAGGATTATTTTTCTATAATAGAACAATTATAATCATATCAAAATATTTTAACTCATGATTTGATATTTCAATATTGATTTAGAATTGTACAGTTCAGGGACCGAAACACAATTAACTATTGACCTAAAAATAAAGAAATTAATTTTGGTGAAATATAAGTTCCAATACAACACTTATTTTCAAAACACATGCAACTATATTTCAATAGAAAATTATACTTGAATATTTATTTCAAAGAAAATTATTGTTAGTGGATCATTTTAATTATATATTATCTAGTACAATTCCGTGTAGATTCAGTTTAACACAACTCAATTTTTTTTTTATGCTCATTAAAAAATGGGTTGGAAATTAAATTATTTTCATTCTGATAACAAATACAATTATTGGATTACAATGAGCTTTTGTTGTAGGAATGTAATCTTTTCTTTTGGGTCATCTTGCATTAACAATAACACAAAAAAATAACCGTAGCAAAACAAATTCTTATCAAAGTTATCATAACTAATCATAAAATTAAATTTGTTTCTTTAATAATTTTTTCGTACAGTGCATTCCAATAAAATATATTAAAGTTAAAACTTTGATATATATATATAAAAAAAAAAACAATAACTATTTTTCTTTTTCAGATATTTTTAAACACTGTTCTGTCTATGCGAAATCGAGTAACTGATGTATCCCAACTTTTTAGGTGTGTCAAAAAAAAAAAAAACTTTCTTTATATTTAATTTTTTAAATTTAACAATTGATAAAATATTGAGTGAAAACGAATAGTAATTATTTTTGTTGAAAATAAAGTTATAAAATGACCTAAAATTGTTTCAGTTTGACATGAGTCAGAAAGTTTATTTTGTGACATAATAAAAGTTATTTCTTGGTCCCTGATATAATTATTATGGATTTTATTTATTATTTAAAATCTAATATTTGTGCAGTAGAATGATGTGATCATATTTCTGTATAATGATTATATTCAATATCCAAGTAAGACTATTCATTCATCTTAGTTAAAATTTATGGTAATGGAAAGTCAGGAGCAGGGAATGATTGTTGAAAATGAGATAGCTACTCATAGGAACCTCAATATATTGAACTCGAAGGAAAAAAGGATCCTTGATTACAGTTTAAATTAAAAAAATTTTCTCTCAATTGATTCAAGAATGGCAGATTTTCATTACCGTGCAAATAAAAAGTAAATAAATGAAATAAAACAGTTTTTTAATTTTGAAGGATTTGTCCAGAGTTGGAGAAAAACATCTAATGATACAGAGACATCCAACTGTAATTTTACATAAAAGTTTTTTCAAACTATGTATTTAATTCCAAATTTCATGTCTACAAAATTTATATATACATTCAATAATCAATGATAAAGTACTAATAATATTTATTTAAATAGTGATAGTTCTTATTTTTGTTTGATATAAAGAAGTTTATTTAATGTTAACATTTTTTTCTTTTGCAAATTTAAGGCTCCAGAAAATAAAGTATGAATGTTCAATATATAGAGGTCATCTATTTTGCTTTTGTAAAAAATAATAGGATTAAGTATTTTTATTATTCTTTACCAAGTAATGAACCCAATACCTTCACGGGTTGTAGTGGAACAGGTTTTTTATTATTTCTTATCAATTATTTTTCAACCTCGAAACTGCACGATTAGTAGAAGAGAATTGATTGTGGTGGTCTCCTTTTTTTCAAAAACATAAAAAAGATAATCTGAGGTTGAGAAATGAAATAAATAGTGGTTTAGACGTGTATGGACTGGAGAATAACTATGATTACTTAATTTTGCTTCTCTCATTCTGTTATTTTAAATATGATGATTCTTTGTTATTATTATTTTCATGGTATAGTACTTGCCTCTGAATTGTGATTTTTCAAACAAAATAATTTTGTAATATTTTTTGTTAGTGAAGTATTGAGAAAATGCATATTTTTCTAAAAGCATAAACTGTTATCGCCTATTAGTAAATCATTTCTTATTATTTTAGGAAGCGTACTTAGTTTGTGGTTATATTGTAATTTATTTTAATAACAGCATTTTGTCATGATGCTCTTTCACTTTCATTTAATGTTTTGACAATTATTCATAAAGTTCAACTCCCATCCCTACTTGCCAGAATGTTTATTTTTGAGGAAAGTCTGCATTTATTTCTGTGCTTCAAATAATCTCAAGAATAAATTGCTTGGTCCTCGTGACACCCTGTTTATATTTGTATATATTTAGATTAAGGAAAAATATCGAGAATTAAATAAATAAATCTGAGAAATTAAAAAAAAACTCATTATGTTCATTACATGGCTGTTTCAAGTTTAATTTCTTAATGACCCAAGCAACTCTTAGAAAATTGAATGATATAAATTTTTATTTATTCAGAATATTTAATATTCCAGATTATGTAATACAAATTTAGAAAGACATAAGTTCCTTTTTTATTTATGGTAATCAGGAATAGCAACTTTATTCTGGGTAGTGTTAAATAGAACATTGAAGTTACCACTATAAAGTTATTTATGCAAATAGATTAGAAAAGGTTCTGAAAGGATGTAGGCTTGATTCAATGGCTGTATTTTGAAAATCAATTAGGAAGGTTTTTTAAAAAAAAAAAGAGAATTGAAGGAATTGAATTTAAACCTTTTAAAATTTTCTGCGTAGAAGTTGGCTCTGAGGTGAAGTGAGAGAGCTCCATATGACATTTTGTGCGTTGTATTAATACCGTTAAATTTGGAGTAGGGTAAAAGCACAAGAACCTGACCCTATTTGATTTGGAATATTCCTGTATCTGACAGGGGTCATAACAATTATGTAACTAAGCGAAATAATGTGAACAGAAATTATCTTTAACTTGTTATAAAACTAACTTCTTGCATTTTACAATTTAAATTTATTGGACAATGCAGGATCCTTTCAAGAATCTGTTTTTGGCAATAGGAAAATCTATTTTTGCTTTGTAATTAATCCAAATTTCTAGCAATTTTTTTTAACGAGAGAGTCGTCGATGGTCTAATTTTAAAACCTGTTATATTGAGTATATTTCTTTTAATTTCTGCAAGTGCGGGCCTGTGACAACTGGCAAAAGATCAAATATCAAGTCCCAGTAGCTAACGCTCATTAAATTTTGCAATTCCTTCAATAATATAGGTCAAAAACAGGCAAAACATAATCTAAAAACACTTCAAAAATTAATAAAACAAATTTTGAGATAAATTGAAGTAGTTCAAGAGAATAAAACAACTCTCAGGTATGATATCCTTACTGACAGATCATTGTTTCTGGAACACTAAGTAGACTCTGAGGTAACTACTGATTTTGCTATTCATTTCGGTTGCGGTTGCTGCCAAGACTAAAGCAAAGCAGATAAATATATCAGAAGAAAATATTGAAGCCACTAATTTATGAAACAGAGATATAGGAGGTCCCGAAATCTAATTATTCCCATTATTATTGGTGCACTGTCAGCTTTTGTTGCTTTTACCTTACAATGTAACTAATTTTTTTCACTGTTCATACTTAATTTCATATTGGGGTATGATTTGAAATTAATTATTTTTCAGTCTGAAATTCATCCTTCCTAAAATAAGTGTCACCTACCTTAATAGTTCATATTTTTAAACCATTCATCGGTCATTTGGTAAACTTAATGACATCTACCTGCTTTCTTACACTCTTATATTGATAACCGAAAGTTTAGGCGTTTCCATTCTCTTAACTTCCATTGAGCTTTCTCCCTCCTCCATTTTTCACTTAAGGTTATTTTCACAGACATACCTGATCACACCAGTGATCTAGCATAAAAAATAAGTTGAATATCATGTTAGGAGTTGCAGCTTGGTGTTGGGCCCCTCGTGTCTGACTAGCCTGTTACTTTATGATATTTATATCACATCCACTCATTGTTGCGAAGTTAGTGACAGGTATGTATATATAAATATGTATAAAATTTTTTTCAATATTCAAAACAGCAATTCTTTTAACTTTTCTTTGCTGGAATAATGTTAAAAGTTCACTGAGATACCGCACGTCCATCTACTAAACTTTTGTAGGTAAGTGAATTTATTTTGTTCTCTTATATTTAGGTTTTAGTTCCTTTTACTTATTTATGTTTGAAAACATAAAAAGAGAGTATTTAAAAACCTGGTAGGTTCTTTACATTAACTTTTTTTTTAAATTTATTCTGTTTCTCTTTTTCTAATTTATTTATTTTTCTATATGGCAAAGGCATCAATTATTGAAACTTTCAACAATTTTTTTTTTCGTTATTGCCATTATTTTTTTTATTATTTAACCTCTTCTTGTGTGTTAAAGTTTTTCATATTTACAATTAGTCGGATATACTTAACAGAATTTGGTTATAATGTTAATGACCTAAAAATTAGCTAATTATTTACATAAGTGCACCAGTTTCTGATAGAGAAAGAAATCAGGTAATGATATCATATTCAGCTGTCAACTGACTTTATTTTTGACAAAATGTTAGTTAAAAATTACAGAAAAATTTAAATAGATTTGAATTAGTAGCGCAGGAATTAATAAAGCTACAGATATCTGATCAAAAATTGCACAAACTTCTATTGAGTAAAAGAGAGTGGCTGTTGAAAAGCTAAACAATAGTGTCTTTTGAAAATCATTTCATTTTTCTAATGACTGCTGCTTGAAAGGGTAATAAATTACTACCTTTATATACTTCATTTTCTTATATAAAGTTAAATGCAAATATTGTCTGTAGTGAGCCACATTCATTTCATATTTTATTACCTTAAGCTTGTCAACATTTATAAAAGTCTGCAGTGATTTATATCTCTTGGAACACATCCTAAATGTAATAAACTCATAGTATCTTAATAAAGTGCATATGATATTTAATTTTGAAGTGATTTATGATGTTTTTAATATAGATAAAGCTTGGCTAATGTTTTCTTCTAATAGTGAAGTTTAAAATCTTAGAGTTTTATTTGCTAAGATTAAATAAAATATAAAGTGGAGAAAACTTATAAGATTTCTGGTTAGAAACAATGTCCAGCAATAATTTTATTATGCTAGTCATACAAATATAAGAAATATTAATAGTATCTAAACCTATGGTATAAAAGTTATCTGATGATGTTAATAATTTTGATCTATTGCATTAATTTGATTTCTATTATATTTAATTGAATGATAGGATCTATCAGAGCATTGGATAGTTGTAGGCTGTTAAATAAATAAAATGAAATGGAAATTCCTTGAAATAGAACTAGACATAAAGGACAAAATTCTAATTGAGAAATTGTCAACTCCAACTTACTTAGCACTTTAAAGAAGGTAGCTCATATTTTATCATACTGTCTTATCTATTCCCTCTCAATATTTAATTTATATTCACAACTAAAATATTTAATACAATGTTGACTTGTAGTTTTATAGAATTGACAAAATGTATAAGAATATTTGGAAGATATATTTTTTTAATTAAATTGTTTTCATATTTCCATATCCAGAAATTATAAGGTCAAGTGAGCATATTAAAGCTAATTTCTGTTCAATCTGAAAAGAAGAAGTAAGGAAGTAAAATCCGTTATTTCTAAACATACCTACATTTTAAATTGAAGGAAAAGTCAACAAAATTATCAACAAAATAGTGTTGTGTTGCTAACTAACAAAGCATACTCATCAATCTAATAGACAGTGGGGAGAAGCATATTTGATGGGACCAGTTAAGAAGTAGAAGGAAAAGAGAAAAAAATACAAGTAGTATCCACTCGAAATATTGAAAATTCCTTTTTCTCCATATAATTCATCGATCTAAGCTTATGATTAATGCAAATAGTGATGAATGATTCCAGCGAGTCTAGAATAATTTTTCTCTACTCTCTAACTAGTATTTTTCAATCCAGCTTCTTCAAAGAATTACTTGTAAGAGACTCTTATTTCTATTGTATGTAAGAATCGTTTATTTCCAAAATAAGCCCGTTTAATAATTTTTTTTTTTTGCCAAATTCTTGTTTTGAACAAATAATCTATTAAACAAGGAAGTTCAAATTGTAGTGGTCAATATTTAAATCAAGCGGGTTGGTCCCATTGCAACCAGACTGAAGCCTTTCAGTTAAGTGACAAAAAATAATAATTACCTACTTCATTAACAAAAGTTGACTTTATAATAATTTGAAACTTAAAATAATATAAGTGAAATATTTGAACATAGATTTATGTTATGATTTACCTGGAAACAATTTTTAATGACTCCTTGATATTACTTAATTTCGCTTAATAATTTATACAGCATTGGCATTATGAAAGTATGGTGTTCTATGTTCATTTCTGTGTTTTAGCCTTTTTATATTCTTATTTAAAAGAAATGAATCGTTCACAGGTATGTGAAAAGTTTATTATGATATTGTTATTTTTATTTTTAATTATTATGTCTGTGTTTTTCACCCATTACAGTTAGTTAGAGTAGAACGACATATCAGCAAAAATAAAATCGTATTGAGAGATTCATCTTAAAGTTTTCTTAATTCTTGATAT